TACCTAAAAAAAAAAAAAAAAAAAAGCTTTAAACAGCTCACAAAACCCAATATTACATACACACACCGATCAGCCATAACATTATGACCACTGAGAGGTGAAGTGAATAACATTTGTTATCTCGTTACAATGGCTCCTGGAAGTGGGTGGGATATATTAGGCGGCAAGTGAACACTTTGTCCCTGAAGTTGATGTGTTGGAAGCTGAAAAAAAGTGTAAGGATTCAAGGAACTTTGACAAGGGCCAAATTGTGATGGCTAGACGACTGGGTGAGAGCAACTCCAAAACTGCAGCTCTTGTGGGATGTTCCCGGTCTGCAGTGATCGGGACCTACCAAAAGTGGTTCAAGGAAGAAAAACTGGTGTACCAGCAAAAGGGTCATGTTGACCCTGGGGAGCCAAGGCTGGCCTGTGTGCTCCAATCCAATAGAACAGCTACTGTAGCTCAAATTGCTGAAAAGGGTTCATGCTAGTTCCGACACAAAGGTGTCTGAGCACACAGTGAATCACAGCTTGTTGTGTATGGGGCTTTGTGGCCACAAACTGGTCAGGGTGCCCATGCTGACCCCTCTCCACCACCAAAAGCTCCTTCAATGGGCATGTGGGCATCCAAACTGGACCATGGAGCAATGGAAGATGGTGGCCTGGTCCAATGAATAACATTTTCTTTTACATCATGTGGATGGCCGATGCGTGTCTCACTTACCTGGCGAAGAGATGGCACCAGGATGCACTATGTGAAGAAGGGAAGCTAGCCAAGGCAGCGTGATGTTCTGCTGGGAAACACTGGGTCCTGTCATTCATATGGCTGTTACTTTGACACATACTATCTACATAAACATTGTTGCTGACCAAGTACACCCCTTCATGGAAGCGATATTCCCTGATGGCAGTGGCCTCTTTCAACAGAATAATGCTCCCTTGCCACACTGCAAAAATGGTTTAAGGTACACAGCAACGAGTTCAAGGTTTTACCTTGGCCTCCAAATTCTTCAGATCTGAATCCAATGAAGCATCTGTGGGATGTGAAGCCATGGATGCCCCACCTCATAACTTACAGGACTTAAAGGATCTGCTACTGACAGCTTGGTGCCAGATACACAGAATACCTTCAGAGGTCTAGTGGAGTCCATGCCTCGATGGGTCAGGGCTGTTTTGGCGGCAACAGGAGGACCTATTCAATATCAGGTGGGTGGTCATAATGTTATGGCTGGTGTGTGTGTGTGTGTGTGTGTGTGTGTGTGTGGCCATTTTCCCTATTTAGGTGTTGCATTTTTGGGGATATTATTTAATGGGCCCAGGGTAATGAATTATCAGTGAATGGCCCATACCCGGAAATACTGCAATTGAAAAGTTATTTACCATATTTTGGACACATTTGCAACCTTTAGTACAGTTACAACTATAGAAATTGTTACCCATGTCTGTATAATGCCTTGTTCACAAAGGTTCAGCTTGTATACAAGCAGTGTGGACAGCAAGTTTTTGCAAAGCATTTGCAGACTTTTGGCAAGATTCAAGCAGCTTTGTTGAAGCCTTACAAGTACCATTCAGCTCCCGATGGGCAGGTTAAAACACAGATCTTTATGGGAGTGCTGACTGTCACTGCGAGCAGTTAGCAGGCTTCGGTATGCTTTGGCGCTACATGATGTTTGTTGAAAGCCTGCTAAGCTACTTGTTTAAAGTAACAGTCAGCACTCCCATTAAATTCCATTTTTGACAACCCCAAACTGGAAATAATGTTATCACAAAGGCTGCAACAAAGTAACTTGAAACTAATTCTTACAAAAGTGTGATGTTACACTGTTTAAACTGAAGCCTTAGTGAGGCCTACAATTACCTTTGGCTAAAATCCTGAACATAGTCCCCTCATTTTCACTTTAAACAGTAGGTAAATGCGAACAAATTCGCTTATTTACTCCCTTTTGGTCTGTTAGAATTAAAAGTGTTTTGCTATCTGTTAAAGATTGTTGATCCAATCAGAAATTCATAGCTGTCCCATGTTATCTCAGGCAGTCTAATTAGCCCTCCAAGTTGTCATCTTGGGAATACATAATAGTTAGTGTCTACAATATAGAAAAGGAAGAATGGGAGGGATGGAGTAGTTTAGCAAAAGGCATCTTGGCAGGACTGAAAATCAGTCAACAAAAATGCTGTGTTGTCAGCCCACAAAAAAACGTAGGGGTTGAGTGCATTGCAGGCAGATCACGCGTTTCATTGAAACAAATAAAACATAGAAAAATAGGTATGTATTGTGGAGATGTACTGCATGTGGTTTTTCCCGGCATACACCAAGCAACACTTGCCTTTTTGTGTCACACACAAGTCTTTCCATAATAGTCTCAGCTTAATGCCACTTGATAACACACAGAACTGCTATGTAGAATACAATCTCTGTATAATGTAGGTCACGGTAAAGAATAAAGGATATTAAAGCTATCAAAGTGGTTAACCAATTCAGAAGGTGTTCTGCGTTGGATCAGACAGAGTGCCACTAGAATACATCACTTAAATCAGGCAAAACATTCCAAAGTCACACGGTGGCAAGCATGCAGATCCTTCAAAACTCAATGGGTCCAGCCCAACCTCTGTCACTCCACTGGCAGCAGAATCTTCTCAACATGCTCCTTTTGTTTTTTAAAGTATTTACATTTACTTTACAAGACTGTCCTGATATGCTACTGTAGTGTATATCCAGAGCTCCAATGTCATTTTATAGCTTGGGAAGCACTGGTTGCCAGGATTGTGGATGTGTCACCTAGGTTTCTCACATACACATGGTGAGCGACTCCAGCACTTATGACAGATATGGATAAAACAACATCTGTTGTTTTCTCAGAACCTTAATTAGTTCTGTTCTGGATCCTAGAGCCCAGAAGCTTTGTAGTCTTTTGGTGGGAATGCGCCTCCATTCCCAAGTAAAAATCTTTCCTGGTAGCCAGTCCTCATTATTAGTCTCAGCTGTCCGCAGGTCTTTATATGTGAAATAACCGATGCTCAGGGCTTTCTCTCTCACTCTTTCTGCGTTGGGAGCCTGCTGCTGGGTGAAAAGGCTGAGTGCTGACAAAACACTAAAATGTTTAGTGGCTTGGAGGAGCATGTTTTTTGTTTTATGTTATGAACTTGTGCAAAGCCCTCCTGCACTCAAACCGCATCTAGGTAATGCCTTGCTGAATAATGGTGCAGGATAAACCTGCTTGGACTGCTGCTTTGGGTCCCCGTCTTATGCATTGTTCCCCACTGCCAGTTAAGGCTGTCCCCATTACATCTAATCTTCTTTTGTGACTACAAGAATCCAGTATAATAAAAGTGTACCAGGATGCCTGTATATTACACTTTACAACTGCTACCTATATAATCTAGATGAAAAATAAAAATGTGTCCCAGGGTAAAGTCAGTAAGTTCTGCTGACGCATTATGCTAAATCTTAGCACTGGGATAAGAACTGGAGTTTTATCATGATCAACTATAATGCAGAACCTCCCTAGAACGCTATATGTTGGAAGGAGATGTATTAAAGCCTATTATTTTCCAAAATTGGTTATCAGAAGCTCAGTATATGATGAACTATAAAAGGTATAAATCTCTTGAAGAAAATACAGCTCATGGCTCAATGGTTCATTGCCTGGCTATTATAGAACAACTCTGCAAAACCAATTGTCATACAAATCACTGGCAGATCTGTACAACGTGCAGAGAGGACCGGCAGGACAGACTACAAGGTTTGAAAATGTACACATTTACATTTGTTCTCAGGGTCACATTCTGAGCAGAATCTAAAACACATTAGTTACACGCTTATCTACAATAGTCGGTATCACTACAATTTGAAGCCAATTTGTTTCCACGGCAGAGTAGGTTTAATTTCCTTGCTCAATGCTTCTTGGGACAATCATCAATAAATATTTGCATAAAACTATTTGCATCAACAAACAGCCAGAAATGGTGTAGATAATTCAGAAGCCGTGAAAAAAAATGTTTATTTATAACAGTTATATTTTATGAGCGGGTAGCCAGAAAGAGGCAGATCATTATTTTGATGACCAAAAGGTCAGTTTATTTTCAGTACATTCAGTAAAAGTTCCAAAATGTAAGCCTTGAGTGCATCCAAAGAGGGTGTTATAATATTGTCATTTAATCCATGAGCTGAGATAATGGCATAGAGCTTTCACCATATCCGTTGTCAACAAGATAAAAGGTACAAAATAACACTTTTTTTTTTTTATAACCTGTCAGTTTCCTGTAACTGGCATTCAGCTTCTACTGTAGCCTCACAGATAACATATGACCGCTCCCTCTACTGTATTCTTTATAGCGTTATTTTCCAGACTCCCCATCAGTTAGTAATACACAGGTGTCTTGCTGCACTCCTTACTGGAGATGAAAGTCTTTAAAACACAGGTGGGTGCTCGCAGTGACCATGGATGGCGCCATGAGGGTATACAAGTTTCAAAAGGATGTCACCAGCACACCTTAGTTAAGGTGAAATCAGCAAAAGTCAATTTATTGATGGTATACTGCCATTCAAGTACAAGGACTAACTGGAGGGGGGGGAAGCGACCCTGGAAGCTGTGCCAAAAAAAGGCAGGAAGAGGGCAACAGGGATTAGTTACCAGTATTTTCCCCTGGTCTCCCTACAACTGATCTTTTCCCCATTACAGACTTAACATGACTTGTTCTGCACGGTCTCTGTAGGAGTCAGTGCCGGCCAAGGAGGAGGCCATCTTGGTAAAGGCAAGGGTTTGTTTCCTCATGTCAGAGCCTCCAGCAAAAAGAACAGTGCGCTGTACAGATGTGACCTTCCCAAATCTCACCCAAAATCTCCTGAAACTAACAGTCAGAGCCAGCAGTGCCTTAGATCTCCCACCGCAGATATACAGCTATAAGATTTTAGACACGGGAGTACCTGAGCACCCTCACATACCAAGAAGTGCACTATTATTTTTCAAGAGGAATTCAAGATCATTTAGATCTATTTAAAGTGCCAGTAAAAAGAATTACAGGCCAACAAAATCTAATTATATAGTATGTTATTTGATCAGTAATGTATTTTGGTTTACAAAACAGTCTTACCCAGTTTTCCATAAAATAAACCTGTTGGAAAATGTTAGCAGATTATAAATATCACAAAGCTCAACTGTATTTTAAAAAAAGACAATGGCTGGTCCGCAAAGTAAAGATAAAAGCCAAACAATGCGAGCTATTTGGTTTTGAATATCATATGCCCAAAACAAAGAAATGCAGAGCTGCTCACATCCTGCTCTGGGGGGTTGAAGGTTGTTTGAACTGTGATGTGGAAAACTAGCGAAGCAACTCAGAGAAAGAAAACTGTTTTCCATACCTCAGAGAAATTGACTGCAAGGGGAATTATTCCCGACACGTAGCACCCCACCAGCATAGCCAGGGACAACAGGCTAATAGAACTGAAGTCATCCATGGCTGCTCTTGTCCTTCAAGGTCCAATCTGCAACATAAAATGATAAATGCAAACTTAGTCTAAGGCAAAGGATTGCACACTGAAAATATCTCTGCTTGCAGCTTTTCCTATCTGACTACTGTTTTTACAACAAAACTAGTTGGACAAAGCATTAGCAAGAAGGAACGTTTAGCAGATGCCATCATGAAAGCACTTTATATTATTTATCTTTACTTGTTCTTAATTCCTACTAACGCTACTACCTTATGTACTGGACTTAACCACCATACAGAACACCTTTATATACAGAAAATGAACCCGTGTTTCCTCTTTCACCGTTTATGCCCCTTTGCATTTGGCAGTCTTTATACTGACCTTATATAAATATACATATACATTAGATCATATTTATATACACAGCAGATTCGTTCATCTCATGTTTTTTCCTATTTTGGAGTATTTTTATCTGAGCTATTTAAATTGCAAATGTTATGTAGTCAAGTTGTTCCAATTGCTTTAGTAAGTTGCCTCACTGATCTGAAATTCCCCCATTAGACTTGCTAGTAACAATATGTCTGAGAATCTTCCAGGACAGCAACCTTGAGAGATGATTGGTTTCTCCCTCTACCGAAAACACAATAAGAACAGTTGCAAAACCTCTACCACCCCCCTCGCCCCTCAGTTGAGATTAAAGTAGATTACTTTTACCAGCGCACAAGGGACAAAAACACCATGAAAACAACCAAAAGAAACGGGTTGGAAGTAGGCTTCCTGTCCTGGAAGATTCCCAGAAATACCATTACCGGTAGGTCTAACAGGGAATTTCCCTGAACATCTTCCAGGACAGCAACCTGAGAGGAGAAGCAAAAAATAAACAAGCCTATGTCAGGACGGGACCACTAGCTGTAGACCTTTACTGCTGAAAGGTCTTATTAGTCGGTCTTATTGCATGAAAACCTCGGTCTGTGCAGGTTCTATGGTGGGCTGTGCAGGTCTATGCAGGACTCTCAGGTGGGCTGTGCGGGTCTATGCTGGTCTGTGCGGGTCTATGCTGGTCTGTGCGGACTCTCAGGTGGGCTGTGCGGGTCTATGCTGGTCTGTGCGGGTCTATGCTGGTCTGTGCGGACTCTCAGGTGGGCTGTGCGGGTCTATGCTGGTCTGTGCGGGTCTATGCTGGTCTGTGCGGACTCTCAGGTGGGCTGTGCGGGTCTATGCTGGTCTGTGCAGACTCTCGGGTGGGCTGTGCGGGTCTATGATAGATAGATTTATTTGTCACATACACAATCGTACAAGTATGATATGCAGTGAAATGCTTACACGACTGCAAAAAGAAGAAAGAATACATTTTAAATAAAACTTTTACATTGCAAAATAAATATAAGTGTTAAATGTAAATATTAAAATTTAAATTTGACTAAAAATGCTAATACAATATGGAATGTAAGTGTGCAAATGCCAACAGCAGCAATACGGGGTAAAATGAATTAAAGTGATGACCAGCAGTGAATTGACCTTTCCTTGACCATTTTCTATTAAAGTGCGGATGTGCAGTAATGTAAGAATACTTATCTAATCAGGCAGTAGATTATATGACTATATAGAGGTCTGATTAAGAGACCGTATAGCCTGAGGGAAGAAACTTCTCCTCAGTCTCTCTGTGTTGGCCTTCAGGGAGCGATAACGCTTCCCAGACCTCAACAAAGAAAAAAGTCCATTGTTGGGATGGCTGAAGTCCCTCATAATCTTCCTGGCCTTGGTCCAGCACCGCTTGCTATAGATTGAATTCAGGTCAGGGAGTTTAGTTTGGATGATTCTCTCAGCTGCTCGCACCACCCTCTGAAGAGCTCGTCTGTCCTGCACGGTGCTGTTCCCAAACCAGGTAGTGGTGTTTCCCATCAGGATGCTCTCTATGGTGCAGGAATAAAAATTTCTAAGCACCCTAGCAGGCAGTCTGAAGTCCCTTAAGCGTCTAAGATGGAAAAGACGCTGCCGAGCCTTTTTCACCACGGTGTTGATATGACAGGACCATGACAAGTCCTGCGTAATATGTACACCGAGGTATCTGAAACTATCCACTCTCTCCACTGGGCTTCCATTGATCATGGGGGTCTGGTATTTTCTCTCCTGCTTTTTACAGAAGTCCACTATCAACTCCTTTGTCTTGCTCACATTGAGGAGGAGGTTGTTCCTCTGGCACCAATTCTCCAGATTCCTAATCTCCTCCAAATATGCTGGTCCGTGCGGGTCTATGCTGGTCTGTGCGGGTCTATGCTGGTCTGTGCAGATTCTCAGGTGGCTGTGTGGGTCTATGCTGGGCTCTGAGGCGTACTAGAGCGGGGCAGAGGAAAGCAAGTACAATGTCCCAGCTTAGGAAAAAGAAAATGCACCAGATGGTTTTAAACTAACCAGACCCTTCCAATCAGGAAAACGTTTGGAAAGGACATGGTGCACCAAACTGCTTACTCTTTAGAACAGAAACAAAAGTACTAGGCATCTGCAGCAATGTTTGCAATGTATGTCAATGTACATACATTACTGGGGGGAATTTCCTAACTAAAGTGGAGTTAACATCCTAAACTTATAAATGCCACAGCACTACCGGAGGCTGGAGCAACAGGTGGCATATAAATAAACAGGCAAAAGACAAAGTATATGCAAAAGACATCAGGTAGGAAAGAGTGCCCGGCAGACACAGTAGCTTCGACCCACCACCTAAACAAACTGCATCCCCTCCCCCTGCGTGTGGCACTGTAATGTCAAATACTTAACAGGCTTAGACCTGGGAGCAGCCATCGCTGTTCTGTCCTTCCTACGATTCCTCCACTGGTGGCAGTGGTGATCACCCATGCTGTCGGCCTCAGCGTTCATGCTGTAGCACGACATTCAGCTTGAGGCTTGGGCTGCATTAATCCCTGCTAATTGCTCTAAGCTCAGGAATCACTGTAGCACCGTGCCTCCGCTGGCCACCTGCACTACCCCAGAAGGGGAGGAGAAGGACCGGGCAATAATCCTTGGGATCTTCAGGAGGAGGGAGTGAAGGTTCTGGAAGCATTTCAGGGGTACCTCTGACAAAAGACAGCAAGGCTTCAGGCACCACAACACAGCAGAGTTGCAGTAGGACCACTGACCCAACGGCCATCCGGTCAGGAAAAAAAAAAACAACGAATGTTGAAGTTCTGGACGGTAGAAAACACAATATAAACTGGAGGGGTTTTTAAACTGTTCTGCTTAGCTACAGGGCAGCGACATACTTCTCAGAAACCAGTTAGGCCTTGTATACATACAGAAAAAAATGGTGTGCTAAATACATATACAAGCCTAAAGACCAATCCCGACCCAGACTTGAGGCTTAAACTGGACAGGTTAGACACTCTTAATCTTTGTCTCACCAGTCTTGCAGATAAATATACTGGTCTATATAGAAAACTGAAGGGCCTCAGTCTCACTCAGGAATCATCTAAGGACAGATACTGGCGCCCTGATGGGTGACCCCACTAAAATGATTTTTCATAAACACCTTTCACATCTCCATACAACTAAACAGCCCATTGACCCTCAACAGGCCAAATCCTTTCTACAGGTGAAACTCGAATAATTAGAATATTGTGCAAAGTTCATTTATTTCACTAATGCAACTTAAAAACCCCAAGAACCCCAAATCCACAATCTCAGAAAATTAGAATATTACATGCAATCAATAAAACAAGGATTGTACATAGAACAATATCGGACCTCTGAAAAGTACAAGCATGCATATGTACTCAGTACTTGGTTTGGGCCCCTTTTGCAGCAATTACTGCAATTACTTTTGCACGATATTCTAATTATTCGAGTTTCACCTGTATATACAAACTCCCTCCCCTAAGTCTCTACAACATCAGTTACTGAATCATGAAAATATACTGAGCAAAGTGAAAAAAATAAAATGATCATAAACCTTAAAATTTATAAGCAACTGGGCCCCAGGCGATTTTACGACATTTGTAACAGTTTATAATAAACTATTGAAAGGTGTCTTATTTAATGCAGACTCCTTCATGGCCGATATACTTATGCTACCAAAGCTGGCCACTGACAAAACAAAATAGGACTGATGTTCAACATATTTCTTTTATCGACCGGACACAAAATATTGGCCAACATTTTAGCCACCCAATTAAATCCAAATCTCCCGGATTTTATTTCTAAAACTGGCCATACACAGTCCAAATTTCTTTGTCAGGTTTTAACTGCTGTCTGTATTCCCACTTAGGTAGCCATACAACACTCATAATTTGAGCCGTGGGTGATCCTGTTGGTACCACCTGGCTCGACAAACTTCAATAACAAAAATTGTAAAAGCCGGGTGGAAAAATGTCAGCTGAACATTGACTGCATCCGATCAAGTAGGATTTGTGTAGGTGCTCTGCTATCCCCTTCACAAAATACAAATCAACATTCAAACACATTTATAGTTTACGGCTATTTTCCAGGGAACAGCCAACACAGGACTGACTGATTCATTGAATGCATTTTTACCCTCGGTCTGAAGTAGAAGGACCAGGTCAAAATACTAATTCTTTGGTTAACAACAATGGACCAGTTACAGAATGAATCAAATACTCACCTGCTCCCATGTGTTGCTCCCTCATTGGTCAGATTTGATAGGCATTGCTCCCTCACTGAAGGAAATGCTGTAGGATGCAAATTGCCAGTGAGAGTGATGCTTTGCCCATCTAGCCAGCAAGGGTCCACATATGGAAATAGACAATTATTTATTTGCCCTATATAGCGATTCTGACCAGTTGTCACCACTGATGAGATCACTAGAGGGACATGGCCAGAACATATTGGCTCTAGCATTGCTAGCACAAACCAGCAGAACAGGAATATCACAGTAAAGAGCCGATAAAACATGTTACATTGAATATAATGAAAAGGAATAGTGTCAGTCTCTCAAGAGGGATTGCTATTGCTGGGCAGCCAAGTTAGGCACAGATATATTTCCAAATGTATTTCCGTCACCGATGGGCCCCCAGTGAAACATAACAACTAGCCTTGCACACCCCCCACTCAGACCTCTCAGTCCTGGGGACTCAACAGTTCCCATTCAGACCTCAAATAGTCCAGGAACCGATACATGAATACGTTTCTGCAGGTCTGAGTGCGAGCAGTCAGTGCTGCAAGGTCACCGGGGTGCACGAGGTCTACGTGGTGGCAAACAAACCAGGTATAATACACTCCACTAGACTAGAGCAACAATGTAAAAGATACATTTACCATGTTAAAAAGGAGAACTATGAGATGAGTGATTTCCACTCACCTCATTGTTCTAGCCGACCTGAGACAATGAGACTGTCACAGGTCGCCTCAGTAGATCGGGAGGTGAGCGAACACATACCGGGTTCGCTCGCCTCTCGATCCTGTCACGGCTCTCTGCCGTGACAGGGGGAGGGGCTGGATTCCCCTCTCCCCACTCCGATCTGCCAGCGCTGACTGGCGGAACGGAGGGGTACAGCTGGCTCTGCCTCTAGATAGGCAGAGCCAGCTGTCACTCACGCAGCTGGGCGGATCCCGTCATCTACGTCAGGATCCGCTCCGGCGTCTCAGTATACCGCGAGCTGTAGCTCGCGGTATACTGAGCTTAGGGTAACGGGAGGACGCTAGTTTGTGTCCTCCCGTTACCCTAAGGAGAACTATGGGGAAAAACACTGACCCCAAAGTTCTCGTTTAAAGGCGCCCAGGTAGCTGCTCAGCCCTGGAAACTCCGCTGTATGGGTCTACACTAGTCACTGTAGCATATGTTCTTCTTTTTTCCTCGAAACAGTCTTCAGATTCTGCCACTGGAAACAGTGCGCAGCAATGTGCGGCAACACGTGTTGTGTGCTGTGTGGGAAAAAATGCTGCATGTCTGGTTTTTGTCTATTGTGGTGCATTGGTAGCCCATGAATTTAACCGGACTGCTGTACAATGTATGGAAATGCAAAATCTATTCTTCAGAATGTCTGGTATTTTGTCTCGTTATTTACTTTTCTCTCAAAAGGTATTTGAGGTCAAACACTAAAATAAATCTGTATTTCTATATTGAATTTCCAAAAGTTCTATCCTACGTACTTATTGAAGATGTCCGTTGGATGCACCTTCTCACTGACGCAATTTAATTCAGCCCTGTGAATATGCACTTCCTTGTGTCACAACTCTTACAGAGCCTGCCTTCTGACCTACAACTCAACACCTGAACAATGTAACAGTATCATTGCTTGCTGGAAGAAATGCATGATGGGATATGTAGTCTTGAAAGATTGCATCACAGCAAACAGCAGGAAAGAGATGCAAAGCACATGTGAATCAGGGGGAAAGTGATGGGCAGACGGAAGGCAGCAATCACTATTTAAAAGAGATTTTTTTTTCCAAGTAAGCTTTGACTGTATTATCAAAAACAACTAAAGTAGGTGCTCCTACTAGCATGCTGATTGTATAACAGGATGGTGTATGCTGGGACTCTACAACTATTTACAATATTATTTATTGTGACTCTGTTGCAAAGTTTCTTAACCTGGAGATCACGCCAGTTAAAGGATGACAACACTATACCATTGCCTCACAATTTTCAGTAGTGTTGTCACTGATAGACCTAATAGGATGGTCAACTGGAGGAGTTCACAGGGCAGGCTGACAACACTGCTGAAAATTGTGAGGCAATGGCATAGCGTTGTCATCCTGCAACAGGAAGTTCTGTAACTGGCAGGCTATCCAGGTAAGAAACATTGCAACAGTCACAAAAAAAAAAAAAAAAAAAAAAAAAAAAAAAAAAAAAAAAACAACTAGCTTAAGAAAAGTGTAAACAGAGACAGAATACCAAACATACTGAAAACAAGATTTGGGGTTTATATACACTTTATTGCAGCACTCAAACAATAAAAGTGTGCTGTGACGCAGTGAATTATGTTGCGAATGTGTCTGAAGACTACATTCACATGAGCCCCCCACAGTTTATATAATGACAGGAGAAGTTCTCTGGAAAGTATAGAAAAACTTTATACATATCATATCCTCCTGCATTTATGTTCCTAGCATGTAATCTACCCCAAGACGTACAGAATTCTATTTGTTTATTCTATAGGCGCAGCTAAACTAATCGCAGGTAAACACACAGTGTGAATGATAATAGTTGCAATCAGTGTATGTTTTTAAGTGTTCAGAAATGTTCAAGGAAGGCGCTTACATCCCTGCCAGTGTGAATGAGGCCTGAGGGAGGAATGTGGCCATTCCCCACTCCAAAGGTTATTACACTATTCCATCAGAGACAGGTAGACGGTTTACAACAGAGGAAGCCAATATTCTATTACAAGTGTGAGAAGAGCATAAAGCTTACCAGGGCAGAAGATAACATACTGTACTGTGACAATAGAGCAAGGATAGGCAACCTTGGCACTCCAGTTGTGGTGAAACTACAAGCCCCATCATCTCTGGGAATCATGCCTGGGCCTGTCAGAGTCTTGCAATGCCTCATGGGACTTGTAGTTCCACTGCAGCTGGAGTGCCAAGGTTGCCACCCCTGCAATAAAGCAACAGCGGCACTACAGCTTCCTACAGAATATACTATTATAATAGAATAATAAGGTATACAGCTCACTAGAGCACAGAAAAATACTATTATATAAAACTAGAGTAATCGGGGAATAAAGTTTACTACAGCATTAATATTCCACATACTAATACACCGGTCTATTATATTAGAGTAATAAGGACATACAGCTTGGTACACCAGAGTCTAATATAGTGTACTATTACAATAGACACATACAGCTTAGTAATGCAGGGCGAGCGACTCTCACACCTCAGCCGTCCGTCTCTATGACCCTGGGCGGACCGTGTTCCCGGTACAGTCAGTCTATGTGTATAATCCCTGGTGTCCTGATCAGCGGCTGTCACAGGGCCTCAGCGGGGAACACATAGGCGTCCAGCCATCTTGCTTTCATCGATCCTCCAGCTGCCATGGTGTCATTACAGGAACTCCTTCCGGGTCACACAGCGACTGACGTCACCTAGAGAAGAGCCGCCTTGGGTCACGGTGCTGATTGGCTGTCTTGTGCATGACACTAATGGCACCTGTGTTGTCTATGACAACCTGTGTTTTTTTTATTTATTTCTGGCCCTGTAGGCCTGTACTGGAAAGTGCCAGCTGGAATCGGGTTATCATGGACAACACCGGCTTCCTTTGCTTGTACAATAATAATGTCTCTGTGTGAGTGGAGGGGGGCATTGTCAGAGAAACGTCTAGGCTATGTTGGCCCACATTCAGACCTGCGCGTTCCTTGAACGCGCACAAAGCACGCTCTTTGACTGAAACGTTACAAAACATGCTGGCATGCTGTTCATTTCTAATGGTACCCCTAACGCGGCCAGGAAGATGCACGTTTTTGCTTTGTGTTTGCGAAAGCAAAATACGGGGAAAGCATGATGCAAAATGTGCTACATGAGCTTTTTTGTTTGTTGAACGTTCAGGCCCCATTGAAGTCCATTGACACACAAGTCCATTGGGAGGCACTGCAACCACAGCATACAAACACACATTATGTGTTCACGGACTGTGCAGGTGTAAATGCGAGGTAATGAATGCGTGTCAGTGAGCGTTTGTCCATGCGTTAATGTGCGTTGCAGTAAGGCAGCCCATACATTTCACTACTTTTGTAACAATAACAAGGTGTGTGACAGTGTCATCAATGGCACCACAGCGTACTAATGCACAAAATACGTGGTTTTGGATGTTGCAGTAACGCATATGTCACCACCATGCAATGATGTTTACCTAGCATTTGATCGGAAAAATGACTGTCAGCTCCCCAGTAAAGTGCATCCCAAGAACGTTCCATTATTTTTCCAGTTTAGGTCATATATTTATTATTGTTTCTTAAATAGGAACATAAATACATGTAATATGAAGACAGATAACATTAAAGTGAACTACTGCCAAAGCCCCTTCTTGTCTTGTAGAGGGTGAAGTATTAAAATGTGCTAGCACAGGACTTGATGAACAAGAGGAGACTATGTAGACAGCTCTCCTGATACCTGTCCTTGTAGATTCTTAAAGGAGAACTATGAGATGAGTGATTTCCACTCACCTCATAGTTCTAGCCGACCTGTGACAATGAGACTGTCACAGGTCGGCTCAGTAGAGCGGGAGGTGAGGGAACACATACAAGGTTCGCTCACCTCTCTATCCTGTCACGGCTCTCTGCCGTGACAGGGGGAGGGCTGGATTCCCCGCTCCGATCTGCCAGCGCTGACTGGCGGAACGGGAGGGGGCGGGTACAGCTGGCTCTGCCTCTAAATAGGCAGAGCCAGCTGTCACTCACGCAGCTGGGCGGATCCCGTCATCTACATCGGGATCCGCTCCGGCGTCTCAGTATACCGCGAGCTGTAGCTCGCGGTATACTGAGCTTAGGGTAACGGGAGGACGCTAGTTTGTGTCCTCCCGTTACCCTAAGGAGAACTATGGGGAAAAACACTGACACCATAGTTCTCCTTTAAGGGTTGCCAGGGTGGGGAGGGGGGAAGCCCCATCAAAATGTTGCTATGGAGCCCTATGATCTGTAATTACACCCCATGGTAGAGGTACTAATATCTACTATATCAGGGGTAGAAAATAGTACTCCAGCTGTGCTACAACAACAAATGCCATCATGCCTCTACCTCATGCCTGTGGCTGTTAGTCTTGCAATGCTTCATGGGACTTGTGGTTCAAAAACAGTTGGAGTGCCAAGATTGCCTACCCCTGCACTTTAGTCTTTTTTATGTCTACCTATTGGAGACAGAGCAGGAAGTGAGGAAAAACTGCCCTAGTGGAGACACAGCAACAAAGTCTGACAGGTTTGGTCTGAAGTTCCACCTTAACAGATGATAGTTCAATTTTGCAGGCAGTAAGGACATCATTTTATGATAAAATTGATTCATTTGAATAAAAATTGTCACATTCTGAAAAATCTCACCTGTTCCCGGACATTGTGAAATGACAATGATGATCTAAGCATTAAAAGTGAATGGGGACCTTACCTACAAGGTATGTATGGTGTACCATCAACAGGGTCAACACAATGGGGAGCCATCAACAGGGTCAACACAACTATATTATGTACAGCATCAAAAAAGGAGAACTAGGCACTCACTTATTCCAAACACAGCAGCCTCCATGTTGAGACATTCACTTCCATATTCTGAGGACACAGGACACTTCAGAATGTGTACTACCCATCTACTCCCTCTGATGGTGACCACTGGATAGAAGATTGTCCCTGCTCCAAACCCCTGTCAAGCTTTCCCGAGCAGGTATATATTGCGGGACCGGCCAAGAGCCCATCCACGCTCCCTTTAAATACTATTAGGCTTTGTATATGTAAGCATAAGAGGGAGTGCAAAAGTACTCAAAGGAAACACACACTGCTGATGTCACGGTAAATAAAACTCTATTCAGCTACAGCAACATGAAAAACGCATGTTGCTGGAGCTAAAGTTTTATTAACGTTGACGTCAGCCATATACGGTACTTCCTTTGAGTATTTTTGCTCTCCCTCTTATGCTCACACATACAAAGCCTAAAGGTCTTCAAAATTCAAGAAAATAACACATAAAGGGGTCTATTTATAAATAATTTCCAGGGTGAATGTTTGCTCTGTGTGAATATAAGTCAAAATGAACACTCTTTAGTTATTTCCTTTATAAATGCAATTAATTTTAGAATGTTTTCATGTAATACTGCATTATGGCCACTAGATGTAGTTAAAGGAGCATATTAGAAATATTACAAGAAATATTTCTTTTCTGTGCTCCTCCGCACCATCCAGTGGCCATAATGCAGTATTACATTAACAAATATTGAAAATACATTCATTTTGGCATATATCTACATGGGTCGAACGTTCACAGGTATTTGCAGAGTTAAGGGCTCTGAGGATACTTTATAAATAGATCCCATAATGTAGTAAATATGCCAAGACATGTTAATGTTTTGTGGTTTTAAAACTCAACCCTTGAGACCCCATTCACACTGAGCGATTTGTAGCGCGATTTCAGCTAAAAAATCAGCTCTATGTAGCTTGTCCAATGCATTTCAATGGAGCTGTTCACATCTCACAGCTCAATGTCGCCTGTAGCTTGTAGCTCAAGCTTGCCGCTTGAAACTGACCTATTTTTCAACGGATTTCGTGCGATTTGGCTTCAATGGTGTGCGACGTCGCGCTACAGAAGTGTCACTTTTGCACAGAAATATAAGCAGGAACATAAGCAGGAAGAGGAATTATGTCACATCGAGACTGCTTTTGATTGGATAGAGCCCAATGTAGCAGCTACGAAGTCCATGCCAAAGGTAGCGATACATAGCGCGACAATATGTGCACTGTAGCTCAATGTCGCTCAGCTCAAATCAGCGCTGAAAAAGTGTTTTTTTCAATGTAGCTCAGTGTGAATGGGGTCTTAACAAAGTCTAGAGAGACGCAACATGTCAGAGTGGAGCCTGGTAATGTAACAAAACAGAGGGGTGGGGCCTGTGAAAGCCAAAACTGGATCCTTTCTAGTGGATGAGACAAAGGAGTAAAGGGAGACGCTGACGGGAGTGCTCTGATTTGATGCTCTGCGTTGGTGCACACTATTAAAGTGACATTAAACCCTCAGATTTTTTAACATAAATCAATACTGTAATGTGCGCCTTACATAATGTGTGCCATTAGTGTTATTATATATAAATAAGGAACTTACGCTGTGTTTGTTCTTCTGATTTCTTTTAGTACTTGAACGGAGTGAAAGTGCAGTCATAGGTAGAACACGCCCAGTGGGCAACAGTACTACAGACAGAAATAGAAATGTTTTTCTTTAGTAGAGGAAAGCTGGACAACTGTCAGGTTTTTATTTCTACACAAAAAAGTGTGACTACTTTGTGCCAATATAATCCTGCAGCGAGCGCTATGGTGACAAACAGCAACTATAAAATATGATATAAATAACTGCCACGCTATACTCTTATACTCCTATATACAAACAGTATCAATTACAAACTGCTACAAGTGATCTATATACACTGTATACCGTATCCAATGTGTGACACAAAACAATAAACACAACACTTTCTCCTGTGCTGAGGTCACACAATATTCCAAAGTACCCAGTAATGTCCCATCTAATATATTCAACATGAGTCAAGTTGTTTAATGAATTCCAGTGTTTGAACAACGATATCCAAAGTTGTAAAGTGTCAATAAGCTGTAGTATCCACCACTTCAAATCTGCAGCCAACACCAACATGAAGCGTTGCATCTACCACAAATAATCCATTGATGTGATCACTCTCCAGACACATCATCTGTATATGTATGTATGCATATAAGACAGGGACCTTAGAGTTCTGAAGGTGCATATAAATTGGCACCTTGAGAACCGGTACTGGTGTGAAACTATGTAAAGCGCTGCATAAAATTATTGGCACTATATAAATACCTGTAAGAAGTAAATAAGACCTCGTGGCTAAGGTCTTATACAGCAGATCCCTTTTACCCCTATGGCAGCTTGGATGAAACCTTATTCTGAAACTGTGAACTGTTAGCCCCTCTCCTTCCATCTCATTCCCCATGTGCAATAGAACATGTGTGAAGCAAAATAGACTCCATAATATAGACCATATATATCATTAAAACAAAAGTTTATTTAAAATGTTACTCACATAACACCTTGTATAAAACAAGGAATCTCTCCCAGCGGCATCACTACCCGATCCTCCAAGCCTGTCGGCTGTGACAGAGCTCTCTCTCCGCCTCCACTGCAGCGATGGTATGTCTCTCGGTGTCCTCACGTCCTATACTCTATGTATAGAAAGTGATGAGTCAGGGACCTTAGACCACTTCAGCAGAGGTGGAGAGAGGCTCCAAAGTCTGGTCTAAGTTCAAGCCAGCCCCAAGGATCGGATGAGCATACATTTTTAAATGTTTGACCCAATGCAAAGGTTATTAAAATGTTTACCCAATAACCC